TCACTGTGTGTGTGTGTGTTCACTGTGTGTGTTCACTGTGTGTGTGTTTCAGGAAGACCAACCAGCTGCAGTACATGCAGAACGTGGTGGTGAAGACTCTGTGGAAGCATCAGTTCGCCTGGCCCTTCTACCAACCTGTGGACGCCATCAAGCTCTGCCTGTTGGTATGACAGCGCTCCGACACGCTAACACGGGATCAGGTTTGATGCTAAGCTAACTGTGCTTGTGTGTGTGTGCGCGCACGCAGGACTACCACAAGGTGATCAAGAACCCCATGGACATGGGAACCATCAAGAAACGTCTGGAGAACAATTATTATTGGAGTGCCAGTGAGGCCATGCAGGACTTCAACACCATGTTCACCAACTGTTACATCTACAACAAGGTACACACACACACACACACACAGACACAGACAGACGCACACACACGAGGTGTGTGTCCTCTTAAGTAGTTCATCAAAGAGAAGCCGCTTTTAATTTTCATTGATTTAACCTGAAGATGGAGCCGGACCATAAAGAATGGGTTCAATGTCCGGCTGTTTTCTAATAGTCCCAACATTCGAGCTAAAAAAAGAATCTGCTTGTGCCTCCTGGCGGGGGGGGGTCAAAGCCCACCCAGTTTACTGATCACCCACTCAGACCTGAGGTCCTGTGACCGTGGACCTGTGGGTCATCAATGTCTGTTATCTTGTTATAAGACATTTAAACGGTCAGAACGCTGAAACACAAACATTTAGTTGTTCTGACGTCGGGGTGCACTCTGACCCTCCTGCTCCCACTTTGAGCCATGACGCCTCAGTCTTGACCCCAGGGCAGCAGGAGGGTGAAAACCAGTTATCAGCCCAGTGAGATACTGGTTGTAGGACCCAACAGCTTTAGTGCTGCGAGTTCCTGTCGGACTGTTTACATGTGCATGCTTGTTTACATTGTGTGCGTGTGTGTGTGCGTGTGTGTGTACGTGCGTGCGCAGCCCACAGATGACATCGTCCTCATGGCTCAGGCTTTAGAGAAAATCTTCCTGCAGAAAGTTGCTCAGATGCCGCAGGAGGAAGTGGCTCTGCTGCCGCCAGCTCCCAAAGGAAAGAACAAAAGCAAACAGCCGGCCGCCACCACAGGTGAGGCGGTGCCACACAGAACCGCAGACTGGACCGCACCGTGCTGCGTACGGCGCTCCCTGCTGGCCTGCAGGCTCTGTTGGAGCGCTCTGATGCTAACGGTTTTTTATCTTCCTCAGTGAGTCAACAGGCAGAGTCCTCAGCCTCGCCTCCGCCCTCCTACCCCTCCCCCTCCCTGTCTCAGACACCTGTCATCTCAACAACACCTACACCTGTTCAGGCCACGCCCCCAGTCCCTGCCCCCCAGCCTCCGGCAACCATGATGCCGTCTGCGCAGCCCGTCGTCAAGGTAACAGCATCACCTGAGAGCAGCCAATCAGATTGAGTTCCCCCGATACCTGCGTGTGAATTACGTGTGTGAATCACGTGTGTGAATTACATGTGTGTGAATTACATGTGTGTGCCCCACAGAAGAAAGGTGTGAAGAGGAAAGCCGACACCACCACCCCCACCACGTCGGCCATCTCCGCCAGTCGCGCCGACTCCCCGTCCGCTCAGGACACCAAACCACCCAAACTCGCCTCGTCCCGCCGAGAGGCTGCCGCCCGCCCCGCCAAGACCCGGCGGGACACGGTGGAGGAGCTGGTGGGCGTGGACACAGGGGGCGGGGTAGTGGGAGCGGGCGGCAGGAAGGGCGGTAAGCTGGGCGAGCAGATGAAACACTGCGACGCCATCTTGAAGGAGATGTTGTCAAAGAAAAATGCCGCCTACGCCTGGCCCTTCTACAAACCGGTGGACGCCGAGGCCCTGGAGCTGCACGACTACCATGACATCATCAAACACCCCATGGACCTCAGCACCGTCAGGGTAAGAACGCCAGAGAGGAGAGGTTCTGGTCCGGGTGGCTGATGGGTATCAGAACCTGAGTGGGCAGTTGAACAAGAATCGTTTATATGTTGTTGAAAAAAGAAGCTGAAAACCACAAAGATCTGTGGCACACGTCGGGTCACCACACACCCGGGTCAGAACCTTTAGAGTTTACAGCTGTCGGCCATTTGGGTCAACAAAACACCGGCTGTACATCTAAAACATCTGGCTTGATTTAAAACACATTTTAACTCCAGATGTTTTTATTACCACTGCCTGTGGGAAAACGAAGGGGGTGTCTCTGTGTTAGCAAAATATCTCATGGACAGCAGAATAACTTTTTCTGAAATGGCAACTAAAAGCTTCAGAGTTAGAGATAGAGTTCTCCTCTTCTGGTTAATAAGCTGCCCAAACGTTTCGGCGCTTTATTGAACACTGATTCTAATGTGATTAAAAATGATCAACTGAAGATGAACGGGTCCTAAAGAGGGAGGAGCTTCACTAGGAGCTCTTAGGAACCATCTATGTTTTTATGTGTTACTGTCCGTCAGGCAAAAGGTCTCTTATAAAAGATGTCCATCATCTTCCTCTTGTCCTGGACTCAGGTCTGGGGGGCAGCATCTTGAGCAGGGAGGTCCAGACATCTCTTCTTCCAGCTCTTCTGGGAGGACCCCAAGGTGTTCCCAGGACAACAGAGAGACATAGTCTCTCCAGCGTGTCCTGGGTCTTCCCCGGGGTCTCCTCCCAGTCGGACATGCCTGAACCACCTCAACTGGCTCCTCTGGATGTGGAGGAGCAGTGGTTCTACTCCGAGTCTCCTGATAACTGAACTTCTCACCCTGTCTCTAAGGGAGAGTCCAGCTCCTGCAGAGGAAACTCATTTCAACCTCCTGGATCTATGATCTCATTCTTTCAGTCTCTACCAGAGTTCATGAGCAGAGGTGAGGGGAGGAACGTAGACCGACCAGTAAACAGAGAGCTTTGTCTTACAGCTCAGCTCTCTCTTCACCACAACGGACCGGAACAGAGTCCACAATACTGCAGATGCTGCACCAGTCCGTCTGTCAGTCTCACGCTTCATTCTTCCCTCACTGTGAACAAAACCCCGAGATACTTGAACTCCTCCACTTGAGGCAGAACCTCACCGTTGACCTGAAGAGAACAGTTCACCTTTTTCCGGTTGAGGACCATGGCCTCAGGTCTGGAGGTGCTGATTCTCATCTCAGCCGCTTCACACTCGGCTGTGAACCGCTCAAGTGAGAGCTGAAGATCACGGCACGATGATGCCAACAGGACGACATCATCTGCAAAGAGCAGAGATGAGGCCTGAGGCCACTGAATTGGACTCCCTCCACCCCCTGGCTGCACCGAGAAGTTCTGTCCATAAAAGTTCTGAACAGAATCGTGACAACGGGCAGCCCTGGTGGAGTCCAACTCCCACCCTTAAGGGTCCGACTTACTAGCAGCACTGCGACCTAAACTCTGGCACCATTTGTGTAGGAACTGAACAGCCCGTAACAACGGACCCCCTCTACCATACTCACAGAGCACCCCCCACAGTGTACCCCGAGGAACACGGTCGAATGCCTTCTCCAAGTCCACAAAACACATGTAGACTGGATGGGCAAACTCCCATGACCCCTCGAGGACCCTAGTGAGGGTAAAGAGCTGGTCCAGTGTTCCACAGCCAGGAGGGAACCCGCATTGTTCCTCCAGGATCTGAAGTTCGACCAACGATTAGACTTGCTTTTCCAGTACCCCTGAATAGACCTTACCAGGGAGGCTATGGTTCCTTAGCTACTGGGTCTGTCGGGCATCTTCCCCTCCATCTACTCCACCTCACCACCAGGTGGTGATCAGTTGACTGCTCAACTCCTCTCTTCATCCGAGTGTCCAAAACAAATGGTCACAAGTCAGATGACACGACTATAAAGTCAATCATTGATCTACGACCTAGGGCGTCCTGGTGCCACGTGCACTTATGGACACCCTGATGTTCGAACATGGTGTTCGTGATGGACAAACTATGACTAGCGTAGGAGTTCAACAACAGAACACCACTCTGGTTCAGATCAGTTCCTCCCAGTCACGCTCCTCCAGGTCACACCGTCATTACTCACATGGGCATTGAGGTCCCCCAGCAGAATAAAGGAGTCCCCAGCTGGTGCACCTTCCAGGACTCCCACCAAGGACTCCAAGAAAGCCAGATATTCTAAACTGCCATTGTCTTTTCACAAACAACAGTCAGAGCCCATCCCCCCACCCAAAGGCACTGGGAAGCTACCCTCTCATCTACTGGGGAAAACTCCAACACACATGCACCAAGTCGGGGGGCTAAGAGTAGACCCACACCAGCTCGATGCCTCTCAGCATGGGCAACTCCAGAATGAAATAAGGTCCAGCTCCTCTGAAGGAGATCGGTTCCAGAGCCCATGCTGTGCGTCGAGGTGAGCCTGACTAGATCTAGTCAGTACCTCTCAACCTTGTGCACAAGTTCAGGCTCCTTCCCCACCAGAGAGGTCACGTTCCATGTCCCAAATGCTAGCTTTGGTGAGCCAGGGTCAGAGCGCTAAGGCCCCGCCTTCAGACACTGCCCATGGAGTCATGCACTTGACTCGTATAGTCCTCCTGTAGATGGTGGGTCCAGTAGGAAGGTAAATCCATGTTGCTCATTCAGGCTGAGCCCGACCGGGCCCCATGGGTAGAGACCCAGTCACCAGGAGCTTGCCAATGAGGCCCTCCTGCAGGCCTGGCTCCAGGGTGAGGCCCCAGTAACCCACGTCCAGGCAAAGGACACGGAGCCCCTTGTTTTCTGTCCATAGGAGTTTTTGGAATCACTCTTTGTTTGACCTGTCACCTAGAACCAGTCTGCCTTGGGAGACCCTACCAGGGGCCATCGCCACCAACAGCAGAGCTCCTAGGATCATTCAGGTGCACAAACTCCTCCATCACAATAAGGTGGAGATTCCAGAAAGAGATAAAGACAACCATTAGTTAATTACAGTCCATTTACCATTTAATATTATAACTATAATATTATAATAACTATAATATTATAATAACTAATAACTATAATATAATAACTAATAACTATAATATAATAACTAATAACTATAATATAATAACTAATAACTCTAATATTATAATAACAAATAACTAATATTATAATAACTAATAACTATAATATAATAACTAGAACATTATAATAAATAATAACTATAATATAATAACTAGAATATTATAATAACTAATAACTA